ACTATGGACATGCATTCCCGGCATGGTGCTGGAAAGGCACTCAAATTTTTTAAAAAGGTAAACAAGGAAAGGTAAGGGAATGAAAAAAACAAAGACACAAATATTTTTTACAATTTTTTGTACGCTCAAAACATTTTGAAATGCAAAGTGCGGTGCCCTCAGGCGATTAGAAAACGAATTATCATGTAGCCAAACAGGAAAACCCTAACTCCGGCCCTGGCCAACCGTGCAAGAACAGAGATGTGTGTGTTGCGCCACGATGTGCGCCGAATGAAAGAATTGTCTCAAAAAAGTAAAGATGAGCAAAGAAATTGACTAGATCGGGATTTGAACCTGCAACCTCTGGAATACCATACTGGTTGCTCTACCAACTAAGCTGTCCAGCCCTACGTTGATGGCTCTTCCCATTTGTCAATTATCTTTGTGTGGGTACTAGTCAGAAGCCATGTAACCTGAAACATCATATAGCCAGGAATCATACCGGTACCCCAGTCACACAATGCAACCTGGGAAGTGGTGAGCAGGGATTACTCAGAGAGGACACGGCGTTTGGGACATAAATCTTGAAACAAATCATATAGGGAAACTAACTACATGTAGGTGCTTACAAATGATTATAAAGATGAACAAAGAGATTGACTCGAGTGGGATTTGAACCTGCGGCCTCCGGAATACCACACCGGTACCAACTAAGCTATCCAGCTTACGTCTGTGGATCTTCCCATTTGTAGCATAAAAAGTACACAGTTGTGATGGTTAACATTTTATTTATCAGTAGAATGAAAAATGTTATGGAGTGAAACAAGAAATCTCAGCAAACTGATGATTTTTAGAAGAAGTTTAATCTTGGATATAAGAAATAACCACTTACAATGTCTCCAATAGCAACCACAGGGGGCAAGTGGGGTTGGTTGTGCACTGTGCGTGTATGTGTAGGAAAGACTCGGAAATCCGAAAACAGGATAACTCAGATTTTTTTTATTGTTCCTTGGAGGTTCAAATTATCATGAGTTTACTATGATTGAGTACAAAAGCAGAAAAAGTGGGCCCCCATGCTTCAACCTACATGTATTGTACCAGCTCTCTTTTTGAAAGGCATGCTTTTGAAGCTGACTCATTTCCTTGTCCGTAATGTGGTTTGTATTATTGATTTTTTCAACAATTTCTTGGACAGATCATTCTACGATTGATTCATCCTATGAATGGTAACAGCAAGGAGTTCACATTCACTCCAAGTGATTCAGCTGCCGATGTAGCACAATATGTGTTTGAGAACTGGCCGCAAGGTAAGGTCATATATGCAGGGAAGAGAGAGACAGAGAGAGAGAAAGAAAGAGAAACATTGGCTTGCGTTAATCTGTCTGACAGTAATGGTATCAGACAGACACATAATAGTACTGGCTGGTTATCCACATGTGCATGTGTTGTTCATGTTTCTTTCGTGTTACCTTTTTCAATAGATCTAGCAAAATCAAACCAATTTAACTTCCTGAACCTCACAGAAGCAGTTACATGTTACTTCAATTGTTGTTTGACTTCCAATTTTTAGTGTTTTCAGGAAATTAAGCAGATTTTTTTCCCCTTAGGAAGCTTGTGGATTAAATTGGGAATGTTAATTTTGAGTAGATCCATCAGTCAATATAGTATTATGTTAATTTGGGTTTCCCACAAGCATTTTCAAAATTTGGGAATTGTCGCTGATTATTTATTATTGAAATTGGAGTAAACATTTGTAATTCTTATACATGTATGTGCCGGTTGAATATATGATTTTTAGTTAGCCAAAGGCATCCCAATTTTCATTGCTTTCTCCTCTCCGTTCTTTGAGTTGTTGACAACACTAGCAGGTGCATTCATTTATTCTGCTTCATAGCGCAGACCTAGAACTATTGATTCTACTGACAGCCCGGAGATAGAGGGACACTTTAAGTACTTCAGCATATCAAAATGATCCCACACAAACTGTTACTTACAGGTTGAATGTAGAGAATATAAGATGACAGAATGAATGGATAGACAGGATGATTAGACATGAATGGATCAGGGTCATGCCTGATGGATTAAATATTAGGAATGATTGTCAAAAGATTGCAACAAGCAAAAGTATTGCGGTGGTAAACTTGCATTTTTAGTCTAGTGTGTAACAAAATGTCATTCTCGACTACCGTGACTTAGCCTATCATTCAGATTCATGTGGTACAGCATTTAAGGTCTTGTGATAGCACATTGGACTTAGTCAGGGCTCGAAATTAGCGGGCGCAGGTAGCTAAAGCATCCATTTGTCTCATAAATGCACCCCTAAATTATAAAGAAAGGCAAAAGTACCGACACCTGTTTGTTTCTATTCTTGCCAGGAAAAAGTTCAGGTATTATGAAAAATAACATGGAACCATAACATGAGTTCAATTTGTTTACCATGTCACC